AATCTTTGAAGGCAGGCTTTCTATGCACATTCTCAAGTGCATAGAAATAGATGAGGCCTATTGTAACCATGAGGCCTGCTTTATGTTTTGTATTTGGGTCTCAACTTCCCAGAGGAATGTGTCCAGGTATAAGAAGTGGTATTAGGAATAGCAGTGACCTTTATGAATATTCTAGTTAAAGCTGTAGTAATATAAGCAATATTTATTGTATTCCGTTATAAGAGAGAAACAGGCTGGGCGCAGTGGCACAGGCTTGTAATCTCAGCACATTGGGAGTCCGAGGTAGGCAGATTGCTTGAGGCCAGGAGTTTGAGATTAGACTGGCCAACATGGTGAAACTCCATCTCTACTAAAAATACAAAAATTAGCTGGGCATGGTGGTGCACGCCTGTGATCCCAGCTACTGGGGAGGCTGAGGTGCAAGAATCATTTGAACCTCAGAGGTGGAGGTTGCAAGATCTGAGATCATGCACTACACTCCAGCCTGGGCAAAAGAGTGAGACTGTCTCAAAATAAAAAAAGAGAGAGAGCAAAGTCTTACTGGACTTTTGCAAATAACCATATTGCCATAATAATACTCGTGAATAGGCGGGCACAGTGGCTCACACCTCTAATCCCACCACTGTGGGAGGCTGTGGCAACCTGATCACTTGAACCCAGGAGTTCAAGACCAGCCTGAGAAACATGGCAAAACCCTATCTCTACTAAAAAATACAAAAATTAGCTGGGTGCAGTGTTTCATGCCTGTACTTTTCAGCCACTTGGAAGGCTGAGGCAGGAGAATCGATTGAGCCTGGGAGGTCAAGGCTGTAGTGAGCCATGATTGTGCCACTGCACTCCAGAAGGGAGACCCTATCTCAAAACAAACAAACAAACAAACAAAAAAAACAGAGTACTTAACGGATAGTTTTCAAATTTTGGAGGGATTAAATAGGGGGAAAAAGTAAATGTTTCGACCTCTCTTTACCAAAGTATTTCTTTCTTTTTTTTGAGATGGAGTTTCACTCTTGTTGCCCAGGCTGGAGTGCAATAGCATGATCTCGGCTCACCATAACCTCCGCCTCCTGGGTTCAAGCGATTCTTCTGCCTTAGCCTTCCTAGTAGCTGGGATTACAGGCATGCACCACCACATCCAGCTAATTTTGGATTTGTAGTAGAGATGGGGTTTCTCCATGTTGGTCAGGCTGGTCTCGAACTCCCAACCTCAGGTAATCCACCTGCCTCAGCCTCTGAAACTGCTGGGATTATGGGCATGAGCCACCGTGCTCGGCCTACAAAAGTATTTCTTATGAAATTTCTGTAAACTATATATAGATCGCTTAAGAGAAAAAGTTTCTTTAAATTTAGAAAACAAGTAAAGAATCAATAATGTTTCAAGTATATATCATAAAAACATTACCCTGGCAGGGTGGCTTATTCCTGTAATCTCAGCACTTTGGGAGGCCAAGGCAGGAGGATTGCTTAAACCCAGGAATTTGAGACCAGCCTATGCATATAGCAAGATCCCAACCTCTTGACTGACAAGCCAAAAAAATAAAATGATCCCAACCTCTACAAAAAAATTTTTAAAATTATAATAGCTGGGCATGGTGACATGTGCTTGTAGTCTCAGCTACACAGGATGTTGAGGTAGGAGGCTTGCTTAAGCCCAAGAGGTTGAGGCTGCAGTGAGACTGGATGACAGACTGAGACCTTGTCTTTAAAAAAAAAAAAAGAAAAAGAAAGAAAGAAAATTGTCTTCATCAGTTTTTAATCAAGTTCTGTTTGATTTTGATTGGAGGCTGCAGGAATTCAACAGTTTCTTCATTAGAGTTCTGAAAAGTTTTTATTTAGTCCATTGATCTTAAAGTTTTTAAGTTTTTAGAAACTTGTATTTAAGATTACTTGTTAGAGTCTTTTTACAGTCTTTTGAACTCCTGGGCTCAAGTGATCCCAGGAGTGAATCTGATTGCAAATGCTTTTAGAGAAGAATCAGAACCATGGAGGACAAAGACTTGGAATAACCATGGTTAAAAGGTTTTTTTTTTTTTTTTTTCCTTTGAATGGATTCTCTCTCTGTAGCCAGGCTGCAGTGCAGTGGCACAATCTCGCCTCACTGCAACCTCTGCCTCCCGGATTCAAGTGATTCTCCTGCCTCAGCCTCCTGAGTAGCTGGGACTACAGGTGCGCACCACCATGCCCCACTAATTTTTGTAGTCTTAGTAGAGATGGCGTTTCACTGTGTTAGCCAGGATGGTCTTGATCTTCTGACCTCCTGATCTGCTCACCTCAGCCTCCCAAAGTGCTAGGATTACAGGCATGTGCCACCGCACCCGGCCTAATGTTTGTATTTTTAGTAAAGACAGGTGTAAAGACACCATGTTGGCCAGGCTGGTCTTGAACTCCTGACCTCAAGTAATCCACCTGCCTCGGCCTTCCAAAGTGCTGGGATTACAGGTGTGAGCCACCCTTCTGGCCCCATGGTTAAAAATCTGATGGAAGTTCATTATAATCAGCAGTTGACAAGGAAATTTGTCAATTTGTTGTTTTTGTGGCATACAACATAATAGCCAGAATTTTGACTGATGACATGTTATATTTCTAAAAGTTTTATATAATTTTGGAACATTTATATCAATAACTTACCTATAAATGTAATTGAAAGAAGATCCAGCATCAATTATCATTTGATAATGTTTCCCATTCAATTTATCAAATAGGCTTCATTATTTAATATCTCTACAAGATGAGTGATCCATCCTTTGAGGCTCTCCAGTGGCCTGACTAGAAAACCCCTAAATTAATATCAGGTTAAAAATACTTAATTTAGAATTTAATTACTGGGGAAATCCAGTAACAAATGCCAAAAAATGTAAGACAGCTAATCAAAACAGGATCCCAGGTCTGTGTGAAATACTAGTCATTCATTTAACCAGAGTGATAATCAGAGACTTCACAAGCAATACAGAAGATTACAACATTGTAAAAACAAAAAATCTTAATTCTGTCATAGCTCAATTTTTATGAAAAAGTTGTGAATTTCATCAGATGACACAGGAAGAATTTGTCCAAGATTATGAGTTTCCAAGGTTATTAGTGCAATGTAAACAAAAAAGCTAGTACCAGCCGGGCACAGTGGCTCACACCTGTAATCCCAGCACTTTGGGAGGCCGAGGCAGGTGGATCACCTGAGGTCAGGAGTTTGAATCAGCCTGGCCAACATGGCAAAACCTCATCTCCACTAAAAATATAAAAATTAGCCAGATGTGGTGACAAGTGCCTGTAATCCCAGCTACTCCAGAGGCTGAGGCAGAAAGAATCACTTAAACCCACGAGGCGGAGGTTGCAGTAAGCCAAGGTTGCACCATTGTACCCCAGCCTGGGCAGCAGAGTGAGACTCCATCTCAAACAAAACAAAACAAACAAACAAAACTAATACCTTGAACCAGGGAATACCTGGCTCTTAGTTAAAAGCATGATTGATTTCCTAGTTACATGGAATAATTTAGACACATCAAGAAAAGCCAAAAGTACAGAATCCAGTTATAGTAGAGGAAAACATTGTTTTTCTAGGCCTTCAAGACAGAACATTTGGTTGGGCATGGTGGCTCTTGCCAGCACTTTGGGAGGCCGAGGTGGGCGGATCACCTGAGGTCAGGAGTTCGAGACCAGCCTGGCAAACATGGTGAAATGCCGACTCAAAAAAAAAACATTTGAATGTCAGGCCACAACAGAAGAGTTAGAACCAGAGAAAAAAGTTACAGTAGCTGGGCGTGGTGGCTCACACCTGTATCCCAGTACTTTGGGAGGCAAAGTGGGTGGATCACTTGAGCCCAGGAGTTCAAAACTAGCCTGGGCAACTTAGTGAAACCCCATCTCTACGAAAAATACAAAAAGCAGCCAGGCATGGTAGCATGCACCTGTAGGCCCAGCTACTCAGGAGGCGGGCAAATGACTTGAGCCTGGGAGGTGGAAGCTGCCGTGAGCCATGACTGTGCCATTGCACTCCAGCCTGGGAGACAGAGCAAGACCCTGTCTCAAAAAAAAAATTACAGGAGCTGACAAAAAAACGTTAAGAGAATTACCACCCCAGCCAAGTGAAAAGATGCATCCTTTCAAAGGGGAGGAAGGGCGGAAGGCAGTGGGAATCATCAGGAAAGTGATGATTGAGTGCTTCACAGCACTCAATAAATATGTTGGCCAGGCACAGTGTCTCACACAGGCACAGTGGCTCACACCTGTAATTCCAGCATTTGGGAGGCCAGGACAAGAGGATTGCTTGAGCTCAGGAGTGGGAGACCAGACTGGGTAATACAGCAAGTCCTCATCTCTGCTAAGAAAAATAAATTAAGTAAATAATTGTGGCATGTTGCCTGAATAGGAACAGGTGTTGTAGTACTTGTGGTTCCAAAGTGAGTGAGTAGCAAGCCCCCTTACCCCAAGACTGCCCTGCCTTCCTCCCTGACCTTTGTTCCTTCTTCCTTTCTGATGACAAAAGTCAAGGAAGGAGGAAAACCCCAGAAATTTCACATCCCCTCTGATTGCCTGGGTTCCTTGACCAGATGCCTTCCTGGGAGACCAGGATAGGGGAGGGGGAGGGTATACTGTTAACGAGCCCATCCTCCCTAGGCACAGTGCCTCACCTGTACTTCCTTCCCTGCAGCAGGGAGGTGACCTCCTTATCCCGGTTCTACAGCTGAAGAGGCTGAGGCTCAGAAAGGCTGGGCAAGCTGCTTGAGGTCCCATAGTCAGGGGCAGGGGCAGACCTCCAGCCCAGAGCTCTAGCCGCTGGCCCTGTGCTCTAAGCATCCCTGTGTTACATATATCTTACTTCCTTCTCCCTAACATTCCATGGGTCTGCGTTGTGTGCCTGCTGGCCCTGGGATAGGAGCAGAGCTTCAGGGCTCCCCAGAGCTGGGTTCTTGATATTCGGAGGCTGTGCCGTGTCCAGGGCAGTTGTTGTTCGCCTGCGCCCTCTATTTTATGTAATACCAATCTTAGGTCTCACTCTCTTTCTTTAGGTTATTCCTTCTGCTCCAGAGGCTTGGATATGGACCTTCTTCATTTCCTGGCCTTTCTCTTTGTCCTGCTTTTGTCTGGGACAGGAACCACAGGCACCTTGAGGACCTCCCTGGACCCGAGCCTGGAGATCTGTATCCTTTGGGATTGGTAGTTGATGAGTTGTCTTTGAGAGGTCTGGAAATGAGGTTTCTCTACTAGGGGATTCCAGGGACAAGCAAGCCCAGCCAGCGGGAACAGGGAGAACAGGTGAGGTGCTCTGGCCAGACCTTGAGCAAGCCAAGTCTCTCCGGAGCTTCCGCATGTGGTAAATGGAAATGACAAGGCCCATCTCTAGATTGCAAAGGCTCAGTGAGGACTGTGCATGGCCTGGCATTTTGTAGGCAACATCCTGGGTGGAGACTCAGGAATTCTGGATTACTGGCCCACCTAGACCCTGGTGAAGTGGGCCACCTGCTCTAGGCCAGGCCTCCGGGACATAAAGGTGAATTACAACGAGCCCCCTGGCTTTGAGGCATCCATAAGCCTAGGGAGAGAAAGTGTACTAACAAATGATCATTTTACTCTGTGACCAGTGCTCTGATGGGCACAGGAGGGATCAGGGAGAAACACTGTGTGATGGCTTTTGAGCCAGGCCTTGAAAGGATAGAAACTCCTAGAGTAGGGTAAGGGGCATCCTGGGCAGAGAGGTGGAGGCGCTGGAATAGCAAATGCTTGTGGGAGAGGGCAGGAAGACCACAGCAAAGGGAAGGCAGGAGCCAGGTCTGGAGGTTTGGTTTCAGGCTGCTGGGTGTGGAGTGCTGTGGGAACTGGATGAATGGTGCATTGCCGGGCCGTGCACTTGTCAGACAGTTTGTTAATTTCCTGGAGGCTTCTAGCCCTGGGCATCCATGGCCCTTGCAGATACTTGCTGGTTAGGAATGGGCCTTCTGCGGCAAGACTGCTGGATTGTCCAGGCAGGGCTATCCATGGCAGCCCCTTAACTTAATGCTGCCCAGACAAAAAGCTGTTTGAGGTGAAGCGGCGGGAGCAGCTGATGGCCCTGAAGAACCTGGCACAGCTGAATGACATCCACCAGCAGTACAAGATCCTTGATGTCATGCTCAGGGGGCTCTTTAAGGTGTGTGCAGGTAGGGGGCAGCTCACGGCAGGTCCAGTCTTTGATCTGGGCACTGATGGGTAAGTAGGAATTCCCTATAGGGATGGTGTTCAGGGACAGGGAAACTGCCTGCACGTAAGACTTGAAGTGGGGTTCAAATAAATGGGGATGGGACCAGTTTGTGATGGGCACTGCGAAGCCACTCAGCCCTGGTGGGGTTCCCTCAGGTGCTGGAGGACTCCCGGACAGTGCTTATTGCTGCTGATGTGCTCCCAGATGGGCCCTTTCCCCAGGACGAGAAGCTGAAGGATGGTATGGTCTTCCCCACCCCGCCCTGTCCTCTGTGCCACCCGATCTTTTCTAGCTGCTCCTTCTGTCCTGTCCTTGTCACTCTTTTTTTTCCTTCCTGGAGGTGCTTTCTTGTGGCACCTTCCAAGTGGTCCCCTTGGGCAGATGGGCATTTCGTGAGTGGTTCCCCTCATTAACTGGCCACATTTGAACAATAGTGTTTTGTAGATTACACTGAGAGGATGGGAGCAACCCTCATAAATTAAATAGTGGACACTTTATAACCATCAACTCTAACCTCCACCATAACTCTGGGGGAAGGCACTGTTCCCTTTACATTGTAGATGAAAGAGGGTAAGTGATTTGCCTTGGCTCTTTCCTCTGATCAAGCTGACTCCTGAGTTCTCTCAGGTTCAAGATAATTCTGAAGCCCCAGGGTCTCTGCCTGACACGTCTCAGACCCACCCCGGCATATCTTTGCAATCTGCTTCTCTCTCTGCGTGGCCAGGCTAGTTCTGGTGAGGGCTACCTGGGCCCTCTCCGAAGGGCTGACTGCAATAGGGCTACTCAGAGTTATTTACACAGTTACAGTTTCTGCTAACCTGGGTCTGGGGGACTTGCTACCGTGATGCACACATGTTCCACAGTGAGTAGGTCTGTACAAACCTACCCTCAAAGGCTGAGGGAGCTGAGAGGGCCAGTTTCTCAGAAAGAAACATTTATTAGGGACTTCTGAACAGAAGCCATGTCTCACGTGCAAACGAGATGGTGATCTCTGCACCCAACCTCCAGAAAATATTCTTTTTTTTTTTGAGACGGAGTTTTGCTCGTTACCCAGGCTGGAGTGCAATGGCGCATTCTCGGCTCACCGCAACCTCCGCCTCCTGGGTTCAAACAATTCTCCTGTCTCAGCCTCCCAAGTAGCTGGGATTATAGGCGTGAGCCACCGCGCCCGGCCCAGAAAGTATTTATTTGTTATTTTGCAGATGACAATGCGTGTATGGAAAGTAATCTTTTTTTTTTTCTTTTGAGACAGAATCTCACTCCATCACCTAGGCTGGAGTACAGGGACACAATCTCAGTTCACTGCAACTTCTGTACCCACCCAGGGTTCAAGCAATTCTCATGCCTTAGCCACCTGAGTAGCTGGAATTACAGACGTGTGCCCCCATGCCAGGCTAATTTTTGCATTTTTAATAGAGGTGGGGTTTTACCATGTTGACCAGGCTGGTCTCCAACTCCTGACCTTAAGTGATCTGCCTGCCTTGGCCTCCCAAAGTGCTGGGATTATAGGCATATGTCACCATACCCAGCCAAAAGTATTCTTCATACAGCAAACTTTTAGGGTAAAAAATGCAGCTGGTGACTCTCAGTCTTTTGTGTGAAACTTATTATCACTAGGGAAGGTAAATAAGCATCTTTATGAGGGGTTATCTATGCGATAGGCATTGTTTAAAGACCTTGCTGCAGAATACCTTGGTATGCAGGGGTCAAACCTCAGCCATTATGGCTTTAAGATGGGGCCACTCTTGTCTTGCAGCAGGCTGTTTTCCTGTAGCACGCTAACAAAACTCAGTCTAAACTGACCTGTTGAGCAGTAGAAGCACATGAGTGGGAAAACAGAAAATTCAAATAAAGTGTGTTAGGTTAGTTTGTAGTATCGTATTGCTGTTGATTTCCTGGTTTAGATCGTTGTATGTTGGTTATATAAGATGATAACATTAGGGCAGGCACAGCGGCTTACACCTGTAATCCCAGCACTTTGGGAGGCTGAGGCAGGTGGATCACTTAAGTTCAGAGGTTTGAGACCAGCCTGGCCAAACATGGTGAAACCCCATCACTACTAAAATATAAAAAAGTAGCCGGATGTGGTGGCATGTACCTGTGATCCCAGCTACTCAGGAAGCTGAGGCAGGAGAATCACTTGAGCCTGGGAGGCGGAGGCTGCAGTGAGCCGAGATCACACCACTGCACTCCAGCCTGGGCAACAGAGCGAGACCCCGTCTCAAAACATAATAGTAAAAAAAGGTAACACTAGAGGAAACCAAGTAAATGAACTTTATGTTGAATTATGTAAATATAAGATAATTTCAGGTCTAAGATGATATCAGGCATAATTATAGGCTCATGCCTATAAACCCAGAGCTTTGGAAGGCTGAGGTAGGAGGATCACTTGAGGCCAGGAATTCGAGACTAGCCTGAGCTACAAAGTGAGACCTCACCTCTAAAGTAATTAACTAATTAAATAGATTCATTTGTTCATTCAAAATAAGAACTTAAGCACTTGAAATAAAATGGAAAGAATAATAAAAAAGAAAAATGTGCCAGGTGCAGTGGCTCACATCTGTAATCCCAGCACTTTGGGAGGCTGAGGCAAGTGGATCATGAGGTCAGGAGATCATGACCATCCTGGCCAATATGGGGAAACCCTATCTTAAAAAATACAAAAATTAGCTGGGTGTGGTGGCACATGCCTATAGTCCCAGCTACTTGGGAGATTGAGGCATGAGAATCACTTGAACCTGGGAGGCAGAGGTTGCAGTGAGCCAAGATTGTACCACTGCATTCCAGCCTGGTGACAGAGCGAGACTTCATTTCAAAAAAGAAAAATAAGAAAAATACTGGCCTGTTCTCTGGCCATCCTAAGAGACCTGACATCTTACAGACACTCTAGTTTTATTAATACCCGGGCCAGCACTGGACATTTGGATAACATGGTGGGTGCGGGGGTCAAGCCCAGCAAAGCCTTGTGTGATGCATCAGCATCCATGTGCAGAACAACGCTCACTTCTCTGGTCCCCACAGCAAATGAGTCTTCTAAGCAGCAAGATGTGTCTTTGGACTGACATACCTGGGTTTGCAGCCCAGATTTGCCCCTCACTAGCTGCTGAGCCTCAGTTTCCCATCTGTAAAATGGGAACAGCAGTCACATCTCCCTCTAAAAGCTGTTATGAGGACTTGGTGAGCTGGTTGATTTAAGGCCCTTAGTTCACAGTATACATGCGATTGGCAGGCTGTGCTCAGTGGGCACCATTCCTTCCTTGCTTGGTGGGTTTGGTGGATGTCTCTGTTCTCTAGAGGATGCCAGGGGCCAGCAAGGCAGCCAGGAGGGCATCTGCCCTGGCCACTCATCAGGGTCCTCTCGCCAGCTTTCTCTCACGTGGTGGAGAACACGGCCTTCTTCGGTGATGTGGTGCTGCGTTTCCCAAAGATTGTGCACTATTACTTCGACCACAACTCCAACTGGAACCTCCTTATCCGCTGGGGCATCAGTTTCTGTAACCAGACTGGCGTCTTTGACCAGGGGCCCCACTCGCCCATCCTCAGCCTGGTAAGGACTGGGGTGGAGGTGGGCTGGGAGCTGTCTGTCTGATGGTGGGCTAGGATTCTCATATCTGCCTTCAGTCGGGCCTGAACGTCAGTGCCTGGTTACATTTTCCTTTTTTTTTTTTGAGATGAAGTCTCACGGTGTTGCCCAGGCTGGAGTGCAATGGCATGATCTCAGCTCACTGCAACCTCTGCCTCCTGGTTCAAGCAATTATCTTGCCTCAGCCTCCTGAGTAGCTGGGACTACAGGCACACACCACCATGCCCTGCTAATTTTTTGTATTTATTTAGTAGAGACGGGGTTTCACTGTGTTGCCCGGGCTGGTCTCAAACTCCTGAGCTCAGGCAATCTGCCTGCCTTGGCCTCCCAAAGTGCTGGGACTACAGGCCTGAGCCACAGCACCTGGCCAGTTATATTTTCTTTGTTGAGCTTCAGGGTGCCTTGGGCCACAGAGGCCCCATAACCCAATTCCCGTGGGGTCATCACCTGGCCCATGTCTGCCCAAGCCAGGGGTCTGGATCCTAGCAGGGAGGGAGTGGCTCTTTGGTGAGCAGGATTCAGGAGAAGGCAGAGGATGACTAGCGTTTCCTCATTTGCAGATGGCCCAGGAGCTGGGGATCAGTGAGAAAGACTCTGACTTCCAGAACCCATTTAAAATCGACCGCACAGAGGTGAGCTGTCAGGGCCTATGCCTGTGTCTGCTTTGCCTCTGCTGGGGCATAGGATGCTGAGGACTGCAGGGGCTGGGGACCTTGGGTGGCTTTGGACTTGGAGACAGGCAGCCTGGGCCTGGGTCCAGAAGCCATCACTGACTCATCGGTGCCTGTGGGCAAGTCACTGCTCCCCTCTTAGCTTCAGGCTCCCTGTCTGTTCATGGAATGTGGACTCCAGCTATAGGGGGTAGTTAGAAGGCTATGAACAATCCCATCCCAGGGCAAAATAGGCATCCCTCTTCAGGTGAATATCAGGGCAGCCAGGGAGGTCAGGAGATCCTCTTACCTATCTTTGAACCTCTGACCATCAACCGGGTTTCCATCTGCACTCCTGTATGCTTCTCTTTCCAGGGGGCTGAGGTGGGCTTTGAGAACTAGAGACAAAATTTGGGATAAAAGATGGGGACAGATACAGCAGAGGGAGAGAGGGATTGGAAGTGGCAAGGCTAGGACGGGCGAGAAGGAAGGGCTGAGTGGTAGCTGGAGGACTGGACTTGTCAAGCTACATGCTGGTCCCTAGTGTGGGAGGGGCATTGGGTGTCTGAGGGGTCTAGGATTTAATTCTGCCTCCAGGCCTATGAGCTAGACTGCTGCTGTCTCATGGACACTAACAGGTCAGAGACACTGGACTGTATTACAGCAAAGGCAGTGGCTAGACAGTTGGTCTGGTTGTGTTGGTTCACGTTGTTCCCCAAGTCCCACGGGAGTGACACAGAGGGGCCCAGGTGGGTGCTGTGCATGCAGGGATTGTGTATCATAGCTGAGAACTGCCAAGCTGGGAAAATTCATGATTTTTTTTTTTTTGAGATGGACTCACTCTGTTGGCCAGGCTGGAGTGCAATGGCACGATGCTGGCTCACTGCAACCTCTGCCTCCCAGGTTTAAGTGATTCTCCTGCCTCAGCCTCCCGAGTAACTGGGATTATAGGCCTGCACCACCATGCCTGGCTAATTTTTTGTATTTTTTTTCAGTAGAGACAGGGTTTCACCATGTTGGACAGGCTGGTCTTAAACTCCTGACCTCAGGTGATCTGCCCACCTCAGCCTCCCAAAGTGCTGGGTTTACAGGCGTGAGCCATTGCACCTGACCTATTTCATGATTTTTATAGTGAATTACAGCAAACGTACTCTTTGGAAGGAGACGTCACCACGCCCTTCAAGGTTGCTCTCTGCAAACATAATCTTGAGACATGACCCAGGTAAAGAGTGGTCAGGGCTTTGTATCTTTGGTGTGCTCAGCAAGAATATGTAGGGGTGCCCAGAGCCATGATGGACTGCTTGCCCCAACAGTCTGCCCCAAGCCCTCCATGGCCTGGTTTAACTCAAATTTTCACGATTGTGCTACTCAGTCTGATTAATCTGACAGAGAGACTAGGACCAAATCTGTTTAATTAGTCTCATACTTTATTTAATTAAAGCTACTATCAACTGTATTCTGAATAGCAGGATAAGGTTAATCTAAATTATTATTATTATTATTATTTTAGAGCCAGGGTCTTGCTCTGTCACCCAGGCTCTGTCATCCACCTAGCTTACTGGAACCTTGAACTTCTGGGCTCAAACAGACCTCCCACCTCAGCCTCCTGAGTAGCTAGGACTACAGGCCTGTGCGACATCACTCCTGGCTAATTAATTTATTATTATTTTTTAGAGACAGGTTCTTGCTGTGCTGCCTAGGGTGGTCTCAAACTCCTGGGCTCAAGCCATCTTCCTACCCCTGCCTCCCAAAGTGTTGGGATTATAGGTGTGAGTCTCTGTGCCTGGCCCCTAACCTGCAGTATTAACCAGGGTCCTGGTCTAAACCATCTGTGAAGGTCCTGGGGGACCAGTAAGTCTCATTTTGGATAATCAGGATATGGTCTCAGACCAATCTGTTATCCACGACCATCCACTTAATAGAGTTTAGATTGACCTGCCAATCTTGGATGTTATTGACAGTAATTACAGGGGACAATAGATGGGCCCAAAGCAAGCCTCATGCCCCCCATAAGGAGACATTCCATGACCCATTCTCTCCCACATGTTACACTTGATTTGAGTCACGAGAACAATGTTTGGCTGAGCCTGAGGACAGGGTCACTGTGGAGCTTCAGCCTCAGTTGCTCTACACGGTATAATCCAAGGCTACTCAGACATCAGGAGAAGCAGATGAATTTTTGTTTTGTTTTATTTTTGAAGCAGATGAATTTGTATTTGTCAGGTTGAAACAAGATTGTGCTGGCTGGTGTGTCTGCACAAGGTCACTGTTGGGAACTACCTTTGATAGCATTAGGCAGCAGAATAGCTCAGTATTGATGTGTCTATGTGAGTGTTCCTATCATGTGGATTGAAATGAGACACCCAACAGTTGGCCATATTGACAGCTGCAGCTGCCACTGGGCTTGGGCAGACCCTAGGATTGTTTTGCCAGGTGGCAGTGATGGATCTAAGGGATAAAGAGAGCATTAGTTGTTCCCTGTACTTTCTGGGATCTAAGGTATTTTTTCCCCAGGTGGCAGGATTATTGCTATCAAATCCATGTGTCCTATGCCAGCACTTATCATTTCACTTTTTCTCCAGTTGTTGCCTACTCTCACCTAGACCTTTCAATCAGAAGTGTCAGGTATGCATGGGACCAGCGCATTTTTACAGATTTATAGAGACCTCTTGTATCTCAAGGCAGTAGGGAAGTAGTTCCAATCCAATATAGCTGCTATACTGGTAAGAAGCATAATGAGCTGTGGATCCCTGAGGGGAGCCTGACCCAGCCTCGGCAGGGAGGTGGCGGAGGCTGTGGGATGAGTTAGTTGCTGGGTAGACCAGCTGAGGCAGGGCTTTGCAGGCAGAGGAATGAACTTACCCAAAGGCTTAGATGCATTGCACGTTCATTCATTCAGCATCAAGTGAGCATCTATTACATCCTGGCCTTTGGGGAAGCAGGCTAGCCCTGTTTTCCTGGGAGTGTCATTCTAGTTGGGGAAGACAGGCAGTCAATTAAAAAATATTGATATTAGTCAATTAAAAATACATAAAATGGGCCTGGCATGGTGGCTCACACCTGTAATCCTAGCACTTTGGGAGGCCAAGGAGGGCAGATCACCTGAGGCCGGGAGTTCGAGACCAGCCTGACCAACATGAAGAAACCCCATCTCTACTAAAAATGCAAAATTAGCTGGGTGCGTTGGTGTAGCCTGTAATCCCAGCTACTCAGGAGGCTGAGGCAGGAGAATCACTTGAACCTGGGAGGTGGAGGTTCTGGTGAGCTGAGATCCCGCCACTGCACTCCAGCCTGGGCAACAAGAATGAAACTCCGTCTCAAAAAAAAAAAAAAAAAAAAAAAAAATATATATATATATATATATATGTATAAAATGCATATATAATGCATATATATAATATGTGTGTCTATGTATGTGTGTATATATACACATGTACATAAAATATGGTAGGTGGTAACAAGGGCTGTGGAGAAAAAAGGCAGGGGAATGTGGTTAAGGAATGCCCAGGGTAAAGTAGGCATGCAGTTGCTATTTCACACAACTTAGACACAGTCTTACCGAATTATCCAGAGGAGATGAGGTAACCAGCTGTGTATCCCAAGGAATAACATTCCAGGCTGAAGGAGCAGCAGGTGCAAAGGCTGTGTTGGAAGCATATTTGGGGGCTGGGGAGTGTGAAGAGATGGGCTCAGAAGACCCTTAGAGGTCTTCACAAGGGCTTTGCTACTTACCTTGAGAGACCTGGAGAGCAGGGTGACAGGCTGTGACTGTCATCCTTTAAAGGGATCGCTTTAAATGGATCATCTGGCTGCTGTGTAGAGCATGGTCGGGGGCCAGAAAGAAGCAGGGACACAAGTGTGGAGGCTGTTCTGCTTATCTATGTGGGAGTTGATAGTGGCTTGAACCAGACGATGGCAGTGGAGCTGGTGAGAAATGGTCAGGTTCTGATTCTCTTTTGGAAGTAGAGTCAGTGGGATTTGCTGAGGAAGCAGATGAGGTAAGAGAAAAAGGAGCATTAAGCATGACTAGAAGACTTTTGGCCTGAGTGTCTGGGAGAATGGGACTGACTGCCATTATTTCAAATGCTTGGAGAGGAAATTAAGAGTTCGTTTCTGCACCTGGTGAACATTGGAGTAAAGACATCAAGGAGGCAGCTGGATCTATGACTCTAGACTTCAGGGAGGAAGTAGAAGCTGGAGCTGTAAATGTGAGAATCATGCCTATGTAGAAGGCACCAAAAGCCTTGAGACAGGACGCAGTCATCTGGGGCATCGGGCAGGTAGAGAAGCAGTCTGAGGACTGAGGCCTGGGATGGGGCTGCAGATAGAGGTTGAGGGTCTGAGGAGGAAGCAGCAAGAAGGAGCAGTCAGCATGAAGGTGGTCGACCCAAGTTTCCCAGAGGCCACACAAAGAAAGCGTTAGAGGAAGTAGGGAGCGATCAGCTTGTCAGATGTTGCTGGGAGGTAAGGAAGATGAGGACTGAGAATCAACTGCTGGACTGAGCAATGTGGTGGCCACTGGTGGTCTTGATAAAAGCTGCTTTGTGCCAGGGTTGGGGGGGCGGGATTGGGAACAAGAGATTGGATTTACAGAGAATGAAAGGAAAGGAAGTGGATGTGGCAAGTATAGACAGCCCTTTAGAAGAGTTTTCCTTTCAAAGAGAGCAGTCTAATGGGAGAATAGCTGGAGGGCAATGTGGGTTCAAATGTTAGTCCCATGGGAGAGACCACAACAGGCTTGCACTGTGTGGATGGGTAGAGAGGGAGGAGCCAATGAGGCCTGGGGCCAGGTTGCTGGAGCCTAATCTGGAGGAGGTGAGGAGGGATGAGATGAAGTGCTGGGGGAAGGCTTGGCCTTGTACAGAAGAGCAGAACCTTAACCTTGAACAGGAGGGCAGGCGGAGCATGTGGGCACAGAAGCAAATGAGTTAGTGGGCGTGGTGGTGGAGCTGTGGGAGTTGTCTCCTGTGAGATAGGAAGCAAGGTCATGGTCTGGGAGTGAGGGGACTGTGGAGGCTTGAGGAGAAGGTATGTGCAGGAGAGCAGGAGGGTGATTGGACCAGGGAATAAGGCTGGATTGCCAGCGCTACGGAAGGCCTGCCGTGGTTATGGTAGGGCTAAGGAGTTAGGGAAGATAGGAGGTGGTGGCCAGAATGGCATGCTTGGGGCTATGGAGGATGTGGTTGTGGGCTATGGAGAGGCAAAGCAGGGTAGCTGGAAGATAGGAGATGAGGCTTGAGAGGTAAGAAGGGGCCCGGGGCCTTGAACACCAAGCTTAGGAATCGGGCTCTATACTGGAGCTAGATGCATTTTTGCAGAGCAGGCAATGAAGAGTGAACTTGGAATAGAGATGCAGTAAATTGATGACTGGTGTAATGGTGAAGGCAGCAGTGGCACAGGGAGGTACAGTCATCAACCTGAGGTCTCATAGCCAGTGATGGAGTGAAGGTTCAAATGCATGTGGTCTACCTCTTGAGCCATGCTCTTATTTTTTTTCTTTCTTTTCCTTCTTTTTTTTTTAGAGATGGGGTTTCACCATGTTGGTCAGGATAGTCTTGAACTCCCGACCTCAGGTGATCCATCTGCCTTGGCCTCCCAAAGTGCTGGGATTATAGATGTGAGCCACTGCACCCAGCTGAGCCATTCTCTTAACCACCATACTATGTTGGCATCAGCCTGCTGATCTGACCTAGGCTGGTCAGTTGCAATCAGGGGTGGTAAGGGAAGATTCCTGGGGAGACATCTAAACTAGACTCAAAAGATGAGTAGGCACTGCCAGGCCTAGGTGGGGAAGGGGATGCCGAAAGGATGGGTGTGTTTCTCTTCTGACCCAGCTAGGTTAGGCTGAGCCTGCTGAGGCTGGAAGGTTTAAGATCTCTTGACTTGCCCTTGCCCAGCCATAGTCAGAGAGGAATGGGGTCTCTGTGGCCTAAGGGATCTCCCACCTTCCCCTCCTCAGTGGGTCAGAATTTACTCAGAGAGAGCAGAGTGTGGTAGGGAAAGTACTAGGCAAGAAAGTGGGCAGCTTGTGAGGCTAGTCCTAGTTGTGCCTACCACATGCTGTGTGACTCCAGCACATCACTTACCCTCTCTGGGCTACACTTCTGTGAATCCCCCCCATCTTCCAAAGGCGTGACTCAATCTAACCTGGTAGGCAGATTACTCCACAAGGTGGAGCTGTTCATTTGTTTTTGATACCTACTTTGATCGGCTCATTTATCACAGTTGCTCTAAGAACAAATAAAAGGGTGTGTTTTACAGCACAGCTACTTGAATTGTGGGCATAGTAAATCTTCACTTAACATCATCCATAGATTCTTGGAAACTGTGAATTGAAGTGAATCTATGAATTATAAAGCAACTTACCATAGGCTAATTGATATAAATAAGAGTTAAGTTACTACAGCATATTTCTGTTCATAAAACCATTACCAGACTTTTTTTTTTTGAGACAGAGTCTTGGTCTATTGCCCAGGCTGGAGTGCAGTAGTACAATCTCAGCTCACTGTAACCTCTGCCTCCCAGGTTAAGCAATTCTGCCTTAGCCTCTCAAGCAGCTGGAACTATAGGCGCGTGCCACCATGCCTGGCTAATTTTTATATTTTTAGTAGAGATGGGTTTTCACTCTGTTAGCCCAGATGGTCTCGATCTCCTGACCTTGTGATCCACTCGCCTCAGCCTCCCAAAGTGCTGGATTACAGGTGTGAGCCACCGCACCCAGCCTAATTTTTGTATTTTTTAGTAGAGATGGGGTTTTACTATGTTGGCCAGGCTGGTCTCGAACTCCTGATCTCAAGTGATTATAGGTATGAGCCATGGTGCCCAGCCTGCAGCCTTCTTAATAAAGACCAAAACACTCTTAATATGAAACATTGAAATAAATGTGAACTACATACACATTGAAGAAAGTTTCATCAAAACAAGTATGGTAATTATTTATCCATTTAGTCCCATTCAGGCTCCAGCCTCTCCCAGCAGCTTAGAGCATAAGGCAGGAACCAACCCTGGGCAGGACGCCCTCCCATCACAGGGTGCTCACAGATGCCTCCACACTCAGACTGGGGCAGTGTGGACATGCTAGTGAACCCAACATGCACATCTTTGGGATGTGGGAAGAAATTGGAGTGCCAGAGAAAATTGGGCTCCACACAGACGATGGCCCCAGTCAAGAATCGATTGGTTTTCTCCTCATCCACATAATGACACGACCTTGAACTAAACCACATTATTTGAGGACCTGCTGTACTATTGTATTTCCTATTCTAACGTGGCTCGCTCATTCATTGAAAAAACACATATTGAGTGCTCTCGAAATGCCAGGAAGACTCTGCGCTAAGGCCTTGTGGCAGAGGACACTATCCTCCTACCCTCATGGAATGTGCTGTCTGGGAGGGCCATGGGCACAAGAAAGAAGGAATCAGTACAAAGTTGAAGGGAGCACACCACCAGGAGCAGCCCCTCAGGGAGGAAGGGCAGGTCTGGAAGGCAGTGCCAGCTGAGCCCAAGCTAAAGTGGCAGAGGGGAGGGCGCTGGAAAGAATGTTCTGGGCCTCGGCCACAGCACATGCAAAGGCCTGGAAGTGAGAGGGTATAGGGAATCCAAGAACATAAAGGCGGGGGATATGAGATAGGAATGGAGGGGTGGATGGGGTGGACCTACAGATGCACCGTGTGGAACTTTGTCTTAAGAGTCACAGAGAGCTGTGGAAGCTAGAATGTGACACGAAGAGATTTGCATTTTGAAAAGATTTATCTAGGCGCAGTGGCTGATGCCTGTAATCCCAGCACTTTGGGAGGCAAGTGGATCACCTGAAGTCAGGAATTCGAGACCAGCCTGGCCAACATAGTGAAACCCTGTCTCTACTAAAAATACAAAAATTAGCCAGGCATGGTGGCAGGCATAATCCCAGCTACTTGAGAGGCTGAGGCAGGAGAATCCCTTGAACCCAGGAGACAAGAGGTTGCAGTGAGCCAAGATCATGCCATTGCACTCCAGCCTGGGCGACAGAGCAAGACTCTGTCTCAAAAACAAACAAACAAAAAAACAAAAACAAAAAAAGAAAAGAAAAGAAGATACTCAACTGCAGTGAGGAGAATGGCTTCAGAGGGACCAAAGGGGGTGTGGAAAGTCCTTGGGAAGCCCCTAGAATCATCCAGCAGAGACACAGAGGTGCTGATAGGGGCAGCAGTAGTAGAGACAGAAAGAGAAGTGGGTGGGTTTGAGAGAGATTGAGGGCTTGAAATGAGCCAGGCCTTGGTGATGGACTCACAGAGGGAATGACCCGTGCAGGTTGGGCTCCTCGGTTCCTGCTCTGCTGCTTGTCAGAACAGGGACTCTGGGTAGAGGGAACCATACTAAGTTTGGGGTACATTTGGGACATCCTAAAGGAAGTCTCTGACTGGCATTTGGACATGGAGATGCGAGTCTGAGGGGTGACTGACCACACAGGCCAACAGAAGCTATGAGTTAGACGAGACGGTCTGGAGGGAGAGAAGGGAGGAGAGCCAAGGGCCCGGGTTGCGGTTGTAGAATGCCCTGCTGAAGTCCTCATCCTCTGCCCCCGCTACTTGCCCTGTTGTCTGTGACTGTGGCTGACTTCCCTCCCGTCCTCCCGAAGGGTGCAGCAGGTTTGTGGTGGTCTCAGCCGCTCTACCCCTCACCCTGGAGGAGTCTGTGTCATTTCTCAGATGCCCCATGTAGGTTCCCACCTCAGCATCCGTCCCTCCGCCTAGAATACTCTTCTCTTCCCTCATGCTGTTGCTTTAGCAAACTCCTGCTTATCTTCAACACCCATTCAGCAGTTCTCCCCAAACCCATTTCACTCTCTCCATGTCTGAGGCAGGGCCTGTGTCCAGGCAACCTTCCTATGCTCACACCCTGCTGGCTGCCTAGCTCAGAGCAGGCTCTTTGTGCCAGAGACTAAATGAGACTTCTCTTCTCTTCCTTTCAGTTAATTCCCAGCACCGACCCTTTCCAGAAGGCCCTGAGAGAAGAAGAGAAACGCCGGAAGAAAGAGGAGAAGCGGAAAGAGATCCGAAAAGGCCCAAGGATCTCCAGATCCCAGTCTGAGTTATAGCTCTGGAGCAGCTCAGGGCTCAGGGCCAGGAGGAGACAGTCAGGAGGAAGAGGAGGTGGAAGTGTGGTGGTGGTGGTGAGCACCAGCTAGGCCCTTCCAGAAGGGGAGGCCACATTTGCCTGGCCCCCTGGAGCTGAATCTGAGCTCCAGCTGAAGGAACTGAGCCTCAGATGGCTGGATGTTCTCTCAGGGGCCTCCTGCTGAAGGGGCCTTCAGAGGACTTTATGCTGCAAATATGACCTTGTGCAGACTGCTAGGGGAGGCAGGGGGATGTCTGCTTGGACTTCTTGGTGGCTGAAGACCACTGGCCACCTGGCTGCTGCCCTTGGTGGGGAAGCAGCAGAACCAGGTTCTGAGCCACAGGTGAGGGTGCCCCCCTGCTGTTGGCCCCACTGTGTCATTGAGTGGCCGGGCACAGGTCCCAGCCCCTCTACAGAGACACAATAAAAGCCTGCAGACCTTTTGGACTGACCAAGGCTGGTGGAGGGGCTGTGATAGGACCAGTGCCTCTCAGGGATGTAGAAACAGTTTGGAGGATGCTCCTGCGCCATCAGGAGGGGCCCCAGGCCCTGGCGGGGCAGAGAAGCAGGGACTTGGCTTGGGCCTTTTATTCCCGCCCCAGCACAGTCCTTGACGAAGGATCAGTGTTGGGAAGGGACCTGGGAAACATTTAGCTTAAGAAGACCTTGGAGCAACATGATCTCTGTCCTCAGATGTCTGATCAAGCACAGAGAAGTCAGCTTGTCCTCTCCGGCAGTGCTGGAAGACAGTTGACCTGTTGGTGGGGGCTACAGGGGGCCAGGCCGCAGCCCTGCAGGAGGCTGTGTTCCGCAGTGGCTGCTTTGAGCTGTGTGGGTCAGACGGCTTCCCATCCCGGGAGGCCACAGAGCAGGGAAGCTGCAGTGGGCATGTGGCCCTGGGTGGGGCAGCTGCCCTTCACTCATGCCCCTCCCAAGCAGAGGAGGGAAGCGCTTTAGTGGGAATTCTAGCTCTGCCTCTTTGACCTTGCCAAGTCAGGATCTGCCTCTTAAAGGAGCAGAGACAACCATCCCAGATCCCCTGGACACCCAGCCCCTACCACTGACAGAGCCCAAGCGAGATCTGAGTCTTAGCCCTTCAGATTTGCTGACTGGCCCTGGCCCACCCCTTCCCCTCCTTGTGCTGCAGCTTTATCGGCAAAATGAATCTGATGGTATCTGAATCCCCTGCCCAGCTCTAACCTGTTTCTCTGAGGTTGGCCTCCCTGCAGGGCTGAGACAGTAAAGGGAAGCCGAGCCTTACAGAGACCTCATGGAAGGGCTTAGAACATCCTGCACCAATCAGTTACTCAGAAGTCAAGGGACAAGCAGCAGCTGGAAGAGAGCTGGGTGTGGGGGCTGGGAGGAGTGCTGGAGAAATTTCCCCATCTGAACTGCACCAGCCACCTGGGCCCCCTCGCTGGGCTGGGCAGTGGAGGCAGGGCAGTGTGGTGGGACTGACTCAACTGACCTCAGTCCGTCCCCACCCTGCCCCTCTCAGGTTATGTGACCCCAGGCACATTTCTGTGAGGATCCTATGAAGTAATGGACACTAGAGTCTGTAACTAAAAGGGCTGGGTCGTGGTGTTAACCATGGAGGGTGTCCTGCTTCTCAGTGTCTTGAACAAAGAATTGGACAAAATGCACAAAGCAAGGAAGGAATGATGAGTTTTATTGAGAATGAAACTACACTCCACAGTGTAAGAATGTCCCGAGCATAGGGGCTCAAGGGCCCTGTTACAGAATTTTGGGGAGTTTAAAACACCCCTAGAGGATTCTATTAGTTACTTGAGGTACACCCTACGTAAATGGAGAGGATGAAGTAAATTTACAAAGTCATTTACAGCATATGCCCTATGGAGAGGATATTTCCTGTTACAGCTGAAGCGTGAATTGGCCTTATGTTCCCTGCCTCCAGACTGTTTTCCTGCATCAGTGGGAAAGGGTCAGATTCACTGGCTCAGCTGTTTAGCCTGTCCTGGTGCCAGCAGCTGGAGCTGGGGGTCAGGACCAGCTCACACGCTCTTCCCTGCTGGGAGGACCAGGCCAATCACTGTCCTCTTCATGCTGAAGAGTGATTGTGGTTGCTGACTTCACAGAGAAGTTGCTTAGCCTTTCTCTTAACTGGGGAAAAAACTTTCTGAACCAGGCCTGCTTGGCAGCAGACCTAGCTTTCTTGGGGTGGCAGGGAGGTTAAAGAACCCCTCAGGACAATTGGGTGGGTCCAGGTTCAGCTGAATGACTTCTAGAGGCTCTGTCATTAACAGCATTTGTATAATTTGAAGTAGAGCTAGGCAACTGCAAAGCAATGAGGAAGGCAGCCCAGTGTGGTGGTGAGACCTGGGCAACTTGGGACCAGCCTGCGCTGTCTCTTGCCAGCTGTTATCAGAAGCAGGCTCTTCACCTTCAGATCCTTGAATTTCCCATCGCAGAATGGCCAGTGGTTGAAAGAATGAGACCTGAAAAAAAATTTTTTTTTTTTTTGAGACAGAGTTTCGCTCGTTACCCAGGCTGGAGTGCAATAGCACGATCTCAGCTCACCGCAACCTCCGCCTCCTGGGTTCAAGCAATTCTCCTGCCTCAGCCTCCTGAGTAGCTGGGATTACAGGCACATGCCACCATGCCCAGCTAATTTTTTTGTATTTTTAGTAGAGACGGGGTTTCACCATGTTGACCAGGATGGTCTCGATCTCTTGACCTAGTGATCCACCCACCTCGGCCTCCCAAAGTGCTGGGATTACAGGCTTGAGCCACTATGCCCGGCTGAGGCCTGAAATTTAAGTGATGTGTGCCCTTCTCTGATGGTTCTTTGTTCATCCCATATATTTGCTGACTGCCTGCTGTATGCAGGGCCAAAGAGAGGGGCCTAGTCACCTATCTCCTCATCTGTCCCTTCTGGCACCTCCTTCCTCCTGGGCTCTTCCTTGTACCTCTTTCCATTTTAGTTAATCCTGTCCTTTCCACCCTCAAATGGGCACCTTCAAAGAAACAACTACTCCACTTGCTCTCTCTCTATTTCCCTTTGCTGCCACTGTTGATTGTTGTAAGTCACTTGCTCCAGGAAGTCCACTTTGAGTCTTACTATAGGCAGAGCCCACCCCCGCAGCTGTAAAGGGCCTAGGGCACATGTTGGTCCAAGCCTCTTGCAGCTGGGGTTGTTAGTGACTGTAGCTCTACCAATTGCACTTCCCACGGTGTGGGAGTCGTGCTGGTGGTGCTGGCGGTCACAGGTACCAGGGGCAGCAGTGGAGGAGTGGTTCTAATGGCCAGTCCAGTGACCAGTGCCAGGGGTGCCCAGTGGTGGCAATAATGGTGTTTTCGGTGTGATCTTGGACATCGATACAGTCTATTGAGCTGCTGGGCCCAGTCTTTGGAACTGTTGGGGAGTCTGGGAGCTCCTTGATATCCTTTAAGGTAGCATTTTCCAGCAATGGCACTATTAATGTTTGGAGGCAGACAATTGTTTGCTGTGTGTGTGTGAAGGGGGGCTGTCCTGTGCATTGTGGGCTATTTTAGCAGCATCCCTGGCCTCTCCCTACTAGATGCCTGTAGCAGTCCCCCAGTTATGACAACCAAAACTGTTTCCAGACATTGCCAGATGTCCACTGGGAGGCAAAAACCTCCCTGGTCCACAGTCCTTCTCCATTCTTATTCCAGTCCCACATCTTCCTCCCACTCCCTGTCACTGTCCTTGGAGAGATGCTGTTGACAGCTCCTCCCAGGCTTGTTGTCCTGGTTCTCTGCTCATGTCTGAGCCTGCTGTCTCTTCCAGATCTTCTTTCCTCACCTGCCCCCATTTGCATGAAGTTTTTTGTGGGGGCTGTCTCTATTTTCTTCTTGGGCAGCCATACCCTCTTAAGACCTCAAAGCTGAATACCTGCCTGTTACTACCTGATAACTCTCATTGCTTATGTTTCCCAAACCAAACTTGTTATTTCCCTCTCTAACCCCATCTCTGTGTCAAAAGTGGAGTACATGCTTTTGGTTAATCCATTTGGAAGGCTTCCTACAGGAAGCAATATCTGAACTGAATCCTGAAAGATTAGGGAAAGCAGAAGAAAAGGACAGGTGGTTTTTCATTTACTTCCTCTGACATATCGCCCTTTTTGCTCACAGCAAAACCATATATAGAATTCTCTTCTGTGACCCGTAGCAGGTGCCCAACCCGTGGTAGACATCTAAACGTAGTGGTTACTCAGTCGAGTCCGTCCCTTTTGCGATGAAGAGCTTCGGTCCTGAGAAGTGACTTGTCAAAAGCTGCCCTACACCTCAGAGCCAGTCCTTGTCTTCCTGCCAGCCAGGGCAAGGTACCACCTGGAAGAGATGTTCAGTTACATGGGATCCAGGGCCAGGGGGAAAATATCAGTTTCCTGAGGTTTGGGTTTAGCCACTATTCTTCCAGCATTTCTACTGAGCCTTCACTTGTACCCCCTCAGTCCACTTGGCCAGGCATCACAGCCTCTGGGCAGGTCCAGGGAGGAACTATGGGCACAGGTGCTGTGTGCCACCTCTGCAGGGGGTTACTGAGGCTCTGGGTTATAGGTGGGTGCCCTGGGCCAGAGAGAGTTATATGGAAGTTATTGCTGAATACCCCCAGAGTACCAGTCACACAACAGTGTGAAGGGCCCTGCAGGAGCCACTGGGCAGCACAGTTGAAGGTGGCACCTTTCTGCTGAGTGCTGGGGCCAGAGCAGGGTTTAGTTTTCTGTCTTTCAGGGTGAGACTGGTGTATTCTGTACCAGCCTCCCTGTGTGTGAACAATGAAGAGAACAATCTTGTCTTGTTTTCCCCAAAATTAAGACACTATTTCTCACTAGTTTATACATGTTTATTATAAAAGGTAATTTAAACAATACTGAAATGTCAGAAAAACGTAAAATTCACCCCAAATCTCACCACTCCCGTAACTATGACTGACAGTGTGATCGCCTTTTTTTTGGTCAATAAATATACCTTTGTGTGCGTAATTTTTAATGATCCATGGTATTCCGTCGTGTGGATGTAATTTACATATTCATTTCCTTATTCTCACTTCTTCCTAGTTACAGCACTTCTTTAAGTACTTGTGATTTTATTCCTTGGGATAAATTCCTAGATGTTTACAACACGACCAGCTGGCCAGCTGCAAGATGGGGCAGTGAGGTCGTTGAAGGAGTAGGAATCCGTAGGTGGGCTGCGCTTCAGAATCTCGGTGGAACTTTTTCAAAATACTCGTGCTCGGGTCCCCGTCTCAGGAGGCCGGCGGTAGGGCTGGGCACTGGCATGGTTTTCAGGTCTTGTGGTTCCGAGGTCCCAGGGATTGAGGACCACTGGAGTAAGCGCTAGTTCACGGCGGGTGCAAAGCAGAAGACGTAAACTCCTGACTGCCCTGGGACAATTCGCAACCCAGTCAAGCCTCGGTGCCAGCCTTTGTAAAGGGGCTGGGAGCAGCGGGACTTCGTTGACCCGGACTCCGGTCCTGAGCGCTGGGGGGCCAGATTTGACTCCGCCGGCTTTCTCCAGCGAGCAGGGCCCCCGGAGGCCGCTGGGAAGGTGACGTAATGTGCTTCCAGCAAAGGCTGTAGGCGGCGGCGGTCGCAGGTGGAGGGTGGTCTGTTAACCCTTCACTCCCAGGCCGGTGGACGGAATAACGTGTGGAGCAGATCCAACGGAAAAGGCAGCGGCTCCTTTAAACAAGGAGGAGCAGGTTAAGATGAAGACCGAGCGGTTACTCACCGCATTCGCTCCCAGGTTGCGGGGGGAGGGACCTCGCTATGCAAATCTGAGCTGCTGATCGATGACGCGCCATCACCCCACGCGCCGCCTCGCGCGCCCATTGGCTGAGATGAGCCTGGTCCCATTGACAACAAACAAGGGGGCGCGCGGCCTGGGGGCGTGGCCGCAGGGGGCGCGGGCTGGGGCGGGGGAATCCCGCCCCGCCCTTTCCGCGCGGCGCCAGGGCGCAACGCAAACATGGCGGCCGCTGGCATCCGCCGGTGAGGCGATACCGGACGGGGGTTGTCGGGTGTCATGGGCGGTGGCGACGGCACCGCCCCCGCGTCTCCCTGAGCGGGACGGCAGGGGGGCTTCTGCGCTGAGCCGGGCGATGGACGAGAGCGGCGAGCTGGGCGGTCTGGAGACCATGGAGACCCTTACGGAGCTGGGCGACGAGCTGACCCTGGGGGACATCGACGGTGAGTGGTGGGTGGGTGGGAGTACGGGGGCCGCGCGGGGAGGAAGGGGTTACGGTGGCGCGCCCGGGTGCGCGTGCGCCCACTCCTCGGCAGCCCCGGCTCGCGCGGGAAGCACCCCGCGCGCACAATCCCCCCCGGCGGCCCCCAACCCTTCCGGCTCTGCGAGCGTGAGCCCAGCCCAGCCGCGCCGCTCTGGGAGGCCGTGGGATCTGGGGCGCCGCGGAGCCGAAAGCAGCTCGAGGGTCTTGGGTTCTGGAGCGCGGGGCCAGCGACATCGCGGGGGCGTCTCAGGGAGCGGCCTAAGGAGAGCGCGTGGCCGCCGCCTCCCTTGCGCGCCCAGACGCCCTCTCCGTGGTCCGGTCTCCCGCCGCCCGCGGCAGCGTGTCACACCTATCACTACCTGCCCGGCCGCAGGGGCGGCTTTGAGATTCCCGGGGCCCAGCCCCGGGTCTGCGCACCCCGCATCCTTGGTCTTCCCGGGATTGACCGACGGCCGGGTCGCCGGGTGCTCTGCGAAACTTTGGGCAGTGGCCACAGAAGCAAGTTGCTGATGAAGAGAGCGGTGGCAGCGGAGTGTGGATGCATCTCTCCGGGATGGAGACCCGGGCGCTCCTGCTGTCACGCTACAAAGGGAATTGAGCAGAAGGAATTTTGAGTTGTGGCCCCTCGGGTACGGGCTGGGGAGCGGGTGGCCTTTGTTTCGGCGCCTTAACAGCGGAGTGGAAGAGCTGGTAGGAGCCTAGGGATCCTCTCTTAAAAATACTCATTTTGCGACCACGAGAATCACGATTTGGAAAGGGTCAGCGGCTTGCTCAAGGTCACCCAGCTGGTTAGAGCCCAGTTCTTCGATTTCCTGGGCCAGTATTGATTTTTTTGTACCCCTTCGTTCAGAGAGTCCAGTTGACTAGGCTAGTAATCTTACTAACTTGATAGTGTGTTCTGGGCTCCAAAATACTTTGTGTTATTTCACTTCTTCACAACAATCATGTGAGATATTCTGATTACCCCTATTGTAATACGGTAATGAAAGAAGCTGAGGACAGGAGATGCTGACTTATCTAAGGCCACGCACCTTAGAGAGCTTTAGGCAAAAACGCAGATGCATGGTACTTTTCAGTTTACAGAATGCTTTCATATCTAGGATCTCACTACAGCCTTGCAGGCATGTATGATGGCTGCATCCCTGTTGTGCAGATGAAGAAACAGAAGCAGCAGAAGATTCTCTTCAAGAGAAGAGATAAATGCAGCAGCTAATTGAAAAGGATCTGTTTGCCATATCCCCATTTTGCTTTTTGTAGTATTTCTCCCCTTGGTGTGTCCTTGTTTTCCATTTTAGTCTTGTGGACAGTGTGGTAAGACCCTTAATTGAAGCCCCACTTCTAACCACAGACTCTTCACTGAGTGCTCCTAAATTCAGAGATGGGTTAACAAATGGGGGTTGGAGGTTGGGTACCTACCAAGGGCAGCTAACATGTTTGAAGAACTTCTGTGCCAGCCAGTGTTAAACACTTATACACATTAATGTTCTTAATTCTCATAACCATCAGGTAGCGAGAACTGTTACACTAGTCATCTCCCTCTCACAGATCCTGAAAGTGAGGCCCAGGGCAGTTCATTAATTTACTGAAGATTACACAGCCAGTAGAAAGTACTGTATGTCTGTAACTGTCTACCAGCAAGGGCACAGAAAGGAATTCATGTGCATTTTGCATTCCTGTTCCATGATCAATTCCTACTTGTTTATTTATCTAATTTTCAAATTTTAATTTTTATATATTTAGTTATTTTTTGAGACAGGGCTGTATTCTGTCACCCAGGCTGGAGTGCAGTGGCACAATCACAGCTCACTGCAGCCTTGACTTTCTGGACTCAAGCAGTCCTCACACCTCAGCCTCCCAAGTAGCTGGAACCACAGACGTGTGCTACCACGCCCTGCAAATCTTCTGAAGTTTTGTAGAGATGAGGTCTCACTCTGTTGCCAGGCTAGCATAGGTCACAAACTTTTGGGCTCAAATGGTCCTCCTGCCTTGGCCTCTCAAAGTGCTAGGATTACAGGTGTGAGCCACCTAATTTTTTTTAGAGACAGGATCTGGCTCTTGCCCAGGCTGGAGTCCAGTGGCATAATCGTAGCTTACTGCAGCCTTGAACTCTTGGGTTTAAGCAATCCTCCCAGCTCAGCTTCCCAAGTAGCTAGGACTAAGGCATGTGCCACCACACCCAGCTAATATATATATATTTTTTGGAGAGCCAGTGTCACTATGTTGCCCAGGTTAGTCTTGAACTCCTGGGCACCTGCGGTCCTCCTGTCTGGGCCTCCTAAAGTCCTGGAATTACTGGCATGAGCCATCACACCCAACCCTGTCTTAATTTGTAATGCTTTTAAATTATCTAGTGGTTAATACTGTCTTAATCCCCATAGATTTCTGAATGAAATGGAAACTGCCACACTCTGGAAACTACCAGAGTGGTTCAGTGGCTTCACAGGTCCCTTAGGTTTAATCCCAGTGGAAGAAGATTCCACTTCGCTGCCCTTCCAGAAGATCTGGTTTATAACAGCACATGAGGCTTTTTCTCAAAATACAGTTGTATACTGCACAAGGTGTGGCTATTTTGTCACAAGAGACCTAGGGACCAGTTCTGGGAAAAGTGGTTCCGTGTCTTCAGTTGATTAACAAAAGTATTCAAGTGCTGGCTGTGGCTTCTGAGCTGTAAGGAATTATGAAAGATAGCGTAGAATTTTATGGCCTCATGGAGCTTGAGATGAGAAACTATAGTGCCAGCATGGAACAGCTTACAACTGCACAGGGCAACAAGTGAAAGTCAGCAGTGAGGGTAGCTTGGTAAAGGCTAGCTTACCGAGAAGACCACACCAAAGAGGTAGCTCTTGACCTGGGCCTTGGAGGACAAGAAGGGTTGGGCAGGCTGAAGATCAGTGGTCTGAAGATAATATTATCCCTTGATTCTTACCCCTTTGTTCCCCTTACTGAATGTTAGCTCCATAAGGGCAGGGAACTTCGTTTCATTCCCACTGAATTCTCTGTACCTAGAAGAGTGCCTGGCACAGGGAGAGTGCCCACTAAATATCTGTGGAATGCCTGAGTGATCCAGTGTGATCTTGGGCTGGGAAGGATATTAATTGTCTTGGTTATGGTTTAGAGTTGGATTAGATCAAGGATAGCCAGACTAGGTGCTTCTAGGAGCAAGTCAGGTGAGGAAGAGGAGAGGCAGGGGGAGTACATTTACTTCCTTTGTATGTGTATGGTGGGGATAAGGGGTAGATGCAACCTAGAGAGCCTCCAGGAGGAGCATGCAGGCAAGGATCCATTCTACAATATCTGCTGAGTTCCAGTCCATTGGGACCCTTCCAAGGATATGGGCTCAGGGAGGTCATATTCATTCACTTATTCAACACAGCTCTTGAGTGGCTTCTAAGTACTTTTGTGATGGACAAAAGTTAACTTGAGCGAGACAGACAATGTGCCTTCTCACTGAAGGCTTATATGCTTGATGGAGGAAATACAAGTTGAGTAAAATAAGTATGCAGTTTTGGCAGGGCACTGTGAAAGAAATAAAATTGGGCCATATTATAGATTGGCCTAAGTATGATTGGGCTAGCATACTTAGATTCGGTAGGCCAGGGAAGCTTCTTGGAAGAGAGGTATCAGTGTCTCTTTTTCAAGAGATGCCTAAATCTGGTTTTTTATTCGAAATACCCAGATTCTTGACCGGGCATGGTGGCTCACGCCTGTAATCCCAGCACTTTGGGAGGGTGAGGTGAGTGGATCATGAGGTCAGGAGTTCGAGACCAGCCTGGCCAATATGGTAAAACCCCGTCTCTGCTAAAACTATAAAAATTAGCCAGGAGTGTTGGCGCACGCCGTGGTCCCAGCTACTCGGGAGGCTGAGACAGAAGAATCACTTCAACCCCGGGGTGGAGGGGAGGGCGGGTGGCAGAAGTTGCTGTGAGCCACTGCACTTCAGCCTGGGTGACAGAGCGGGACTCCATCTCAAAAAAAAAAAAAATATCTCTAGGCACCCAACAAAGCATGTGTGCTAGTTGAACTCTGGGATTTTGTTCTCCTGCAGAATGTTCTCTTGTCCCAGGCCCCCCAGTAATAGAATGACTCTGCCATTTCATTTTGTGGTATATATGTCTATCTTGAGAAAGGGCCTCATGCACTATTATGCACCAGGTCTTCGGGAAGGGCAGCGAGGTGGGATCCTTTTCCATTGGGATCAGGAAAGGCACAGTCATGGAGGTGATCTTTTTGCTGGGTCCAAATAGATGGGTGGCAGGAGCAGCCTGACAAATATGTGGGAGGAGTTAGAACAAGCTGCTTTTAGAAATAAAAGATTACTACTGGAGATTTCTTAGAATATAGTGTTTGTAAGGAAACAGTAGAAGATGAGGTCTGAGAGGTGAGGTAGAGCTAAATTTTACTCCAGATGCAAGGCGTTTTATGGAATATAGGGAGGGAGTTGTTGAAGATTTTCAAGTAAGGGGTGACACATTAATCATGGGTTTTGTCGGCTGGGCACGGTGGCTCAAGCCTGTAATCCCAGCAGTTTGGGAGGCTGAGGCGGGTGGATCACGAGGTCAAGAGATCGAGACCATCCTGGTCAACATGGTGAAACCCCGTCTGTACTAAAAATACAACAAATTAGCTGGGCATGGTGGCGCGCGCCTGTAATCCCAGCTTCTCAGGAGGCTGAGGCAGGAGAATTGCCTGAACCCAGGAGGCGGAGGTTGCGGTGAGCCGAGATAGTGCCATTGCACTCCAGCCTGGGTAACAAAAGCGAAACTCTGTCTCAAAAAGGAAAAAATCATGGGTTTTAAGAAAATTGAACTATGGGCCGGGTGTGGTGCTCATGCCTATAATCTCAGCACTTTAGGAGGCTGAGGAGGGTAGATCACCTGTGAGGCCAGGAGTTTGAAACCAGCCTGGCCACATGGTGAAACCATGTATCTACTGAAAATACAAACATTAGCCGGGCATAGT